ACACACACACACACACACACACACACACACACACACACACACACACACACACACACACACACACACACACACACAATAACACACACACACACACACACACACACACACACACACACACACACACACACACACACACACACACACACACACACACACACACACACACCACACACTCACCCCAACGAGTATCCCAGGAGCACACCCAATTTCATTCCTGGATGTGCAGAACTCGCCCCTGCCCCAAACCCAGGATTTGCCTAGACCCCAAAGCAGTCGCTGCTGACCTGCTGAGTTGCTTGACCATAAAGAGTGGCCGAGCAGTATGGGCCTTGAACAGAAGAACCCAACAGAGGTTCAAAGTTTGGCAACTGAGCGTAGCAAGCTGCTGACAAACTCAACCGTATCTCTGTTGCTGGACACTTTGGACCGGTTGGAAGGAGGTATGCCCATATTGAGGGTCCAATAGGGCCATCGGTGCCAACCCCCGGGGAAAAATGACAAGGAGGTAACCCAAATCCCAAATAACATCCGGCGAAAACTTTCCAGAACCCTAGAGCCGCTCCGAACCACTCCGCAACCTACGCCTGCAAAACAATCCCGGCAAAACAGACCAAACCGCCCGCAGTTCACAAGAGGCCAGGCGCACCCACCAGCAGTCGCCCATCGCGGGCCAGCAAGGCCTTCCAATGGGCCGACGTTGGCATTTTTTAAGGGGCTCGGAGGCTTGCAGAACAGGCCCTACACAAAAGTTTGGACATCCCCAATAAAACATCTCTTACAGAACGTTGCCCCAAACATTGCACCACTTCAAGGAACCCTTTTAACTCGTCAAACACTGTTATCCTGCAAAATGGGCCCTGCTCTACGGGGATGCCCGTTGATGCCCGTTGGGAAGCTTTGGTTGGATCTGGTTTCACCTGCAATATCAGGGTGGCTTGCTGGGTCCGTTAGAATGATCCGCCAAATTATCTTCTACATGTTGGTTAAAGAAGAACCACCCCTTGAAATTAAGTTTGAGACCCCTTCAACATGTTCACTTTAAAGGACACATTGACCATGTTTGCTGCCGTGGTTGTGGCAGCGCCGCACAAGTCTGCGCCTTCACCCGAGGCGCCGGGGTACCCTTCTCGGTCTCCGGCAGCTGACAAACCTGCGTGACTCGACTGGGCCATGGAAGGTCGATTCTAGCTGGATTTGCCCGTTTTGGCGTGTCACTCGTCATCCGCCAGTCGGCTGCGGATCCTGCGCATTTTCGACAGGGAGGTTGTGGACTTTCATCTATGCGACCCCCAGCAACCGCCGGTTCGTCATTCGTCAACTTGACAGGCAGCGTACTAACTACATTGCCCCCTGCCTGGGGCCTCCAAATTCCAGGTCTCTCGTTTCTAGCCTCATCTAACCAGCTTCTCGCCTCCACCAGCTCCGCGCCATGTCTCAGCACCCGCACTGCGCCCTTGGCATCGCCCAAGGCCAGCCTCGTGTCGGCTGGAGCTGTCCTCCCCAAAGTCCACTTGGCTCCACGTCACCACGTCACCCCCTTTCTGAACAACACGGACCGCTGTTTCAACCCAACTTTACTCGGTCCACATCCGTGCAGCCAAGCCTGCTCCTTTCATCTCTGGAAAACAAGTTTATTCACTTGTTTGGTCCCCTGTTTCTCCAGAGTAATCTTCCCAATCATACCTCGCGCTTTGAGGCGTTTTCAATGGCCCTCATTTTAGCAGCGCCCAGTTGATTTCAAGAGCCGGGTCCTTGTGCAAAGCCTCATGAAACCAGGGTACTAGAGCCGCCTGCTAAATTGTTGGGGCGCTCATTTGGAGACAATTCACGAAGCGCGACTCGTGGCCGAGCTGAGGCTCCGGCAGGTGGGGAGACAGCCAAGCTACCGCGGTCTCAGCGGAAGATTCACTGGGGACAAGTAGTTGATCCCACAATGTCCTCCTCAAACCAATTTGGGAGATGTGGAGAGAGTTGGATATAGGGAGTGAGGGAGAGAGTTTTCGGATTGTCATTTTCGTAGTGGTCGGATTGCCACTCACCGACCGACATCAAACATTCAAGAAAAACAACGGTGTGTCATGCCGCTTGCAAACATGCCATGTCGATATATTTGCAATTTGTGTTTTGTAACCCCGTAGTCCTCAGCGACCAGGTATCTTGAGCATGGCTCTTTTGCAAACTCAAGGGGTGCTGAGCCTCCTAAAGACATGCCCCTGGCCACTGTTGCACAACAGCATGCCCCTCCATTGTCCGATGGCCATGGCGACAAAAGGATGCTATGGCTTCCCAAAACAAACCTTGGAGGCTTTTGAACGGTTATCATGTTTGCTTTTTGCGTCCTACTGCGGTCCTATGGTTTGAAACGCGAAATCATCTAGTACTCACC